CGTGGTGCTAAATGTATATTTAAGAGTAAACAACATTCGAATTGCCTACTGTCCAACAGAATGGTATATAAATAAAACACAAATGAGAGGATGAAAGTGCAGATTGTTACCCCGACACAAATATTGTCGACCGAGGCAAATCTAAGGTTGATAAAGATTTTATGAATGGTTAAAATCTGCTCTATCAGCTATGTATTTTTTAATATATTATACTGAATGTTCTATAATTATATTGTCTTTTAAGTTCTCGATTGAAAGAAATGAGCCTTGTACATAACAACCATCCGTATTGAATAAAGCGCACTATTGAACAAAGGTGTCGTGAAGGGAAATAGAATATTAGCCATGCGAAAGAAAAAAATATTTACCACGTATTACTGAATACAAATTTAATATTTTAACTCAAAGTATAATAGTGAGAAACACTGTTTGCTGATAACTACGTACTTTGTCGCTAGAACGCTAAGACCTATGTCTTGACCTCAGAGATGGTTTATTTTCGAAGATACAACAACCCAAGACATAAAAAAGACAACTTAAATCGTTTAAAAAATTGAAGAGTTTTGAACATGCATAGTTTAGATACAATGAAAAGTACACCAACTTTAGATGTATTTCTATTTGTATCCATCTAATGAGATAAGCCTTTTCAACTGATTTTTATAGTTTGTTCTTATGCTACATACTATTAAACCACTGTCCCAGATTAGGGGAAGGGTTGAACGCTCACAAACATGATTAACCCCGCCACATTCTTTATGTGCCTGTCCCAAGTCAGGAGCCTGTAGTTCAGTGGTTGTGGGTGATTCTTGGCTGTCATAATGTTTTTCGTAAATTGTTTTGTTCAAAGGTTATCTTAGGTTAAACCAAAACTTCTCCGGAGATATGTAAGTTACTTCCAAATGTTATCAGCATCATATTTTATCTCAAATAAAAAAGAAATATTCCTAATCAGGTTGATATACAAATTTATATAACATTTATTTTTATTCCTTGATTGTGTAAAACCAGAGAATATAATGAAGATGTTTCTGGCAGGGTTGATTCAAACGCACACAAACATACTTTAGATATTTTGATTTAAATTGACAGAAAATCAAGTTCATTTTTATGATAACGAAAATATCTACCTATATTATGTTATCACATGATAACAAGTACAAAATATTGAAGTTTATACATACAGGATGTAATCATGGCGAATAATATATCGATGAAACATCCCTTGAACTGCAACACCCTAGTGCGATATAGGTTTCTCCACGATGATATTTTTTAGCTTTACTGCAAAGAATGTGGGCATTTGGTTTGTTTCCATTGTTTAGGTCAGTTCCATCAAAAGCATAATTTTTGTCAAATACAAGATGCTGAAACAAACATTCGTGATGAATTTAAGAGTTTTAAGTAGAGAACATGAGATAATTTTAAATGAATCGTCTATTGAAAAACTTCTAGGATTACGTGACATGATTGAACATAGTATTGAGTATCATACGGAAAATAGGAAGAAAACGGATTGATTTGTTAAAGGAGGAACTTCTTACTTCTTTAAATGACACAGTCTCGAGTAAGAAAACAGCAATTCTAGAAACATTGGATCGCATAGAAAACGTTCGGTTAGCATTCCTAAAATATATACTACTAATATTCAGGAATTAGATTTTTGGAGTGTTGTCAACATATTGACAGAAATAAAGTCATGTCTTTTTTCCGCGAATTCTCATATGCATGTCCTCGAACAATTCACTTTCAGACCAAACGACGAAGAAATGTCAGTCGGCCAACTTATTCTTTCACACGGTCAAAATTATGAGGCAAAAAGTGATGACATCGAAACAATTGAACATCACAATCTGCCTCTCTGCCGTGACGTGTCTATTCAGACAGAAAACCAGTGTTGTTCTGATTCAAAAGATAACTGTTCTAATGCCGATTGTATAAAGAAAAACAAAACTGATATACCACAGAACGATTGTAATGACATACATGAAGAATATTCAATGTTTCACAAGATCAGTATCGGTAGATCATACAGGCACCAAAACATTAAGAAAATTGTTCCGATTTCAGACAAAACTGCATGGATAATTTCCGGTAACAAATTACATAAAATCACTAATTATATACTGGATGATAAAATTTATGCACAAAATGTGTGTGACATAGGCATGTTGAGAAACGAGTGTGTTTTTATCATACTACAAAAATAATGCAACTTGTAAATGAGAATCGACTGGTTATGTTTGCCAATTCAGGAAACCAACCGTCCTTTCCTCATTGCGCATGTGTCACTGTGGACGATTCCATTATAGTTCTACTTCTATCTATCGTGCAAGAGGACCAAGGTTATAAAAAGGCATTTACTCATTTGGACTTAGAAGGGGTCGTAGTTCGTAGCATAGATTTTTACCAAAATATTTGCCGCATACCAAATGAAATTCTTAGTACCGAGGAAGGCATAAACTTTTTGTACGTAAATGCTTTTGATTAGCCGATAAAGTCTCTTATTGAACAACGAAATCCCATATCCGGTACTATTATTGAATCGGTTAAAGGTGTATTTGGTTATGCTCCAGAAAATGACTTTGAATGTTCCGGAATATGTACTGATACGAAAGGAAATATTTTAGTTTCAGACTGTCGACATCATTGTGTTTTTATACTGGGTAAAAATCTTAAGTATAAACGGCGTCTAGTGAATGCATCAGATGGTCATTATAACCCCAGGTCTGTTGGACTAATTAAAGGCTCCATGTGGATTGCTGACAAAAATGGAGTACTGATATTCAAAAATGAACACAATGTGAATAATTCTATGTGTTCAATTGCGTAAAAAGATAAGCAATAGGAGCGATGTAGGCAAGGTTTATGATATCCTCCAGCGTCATCGACGCGCACATGACGGTAAACGTGTTCGTCCTTATGTTTGAAATTTAAGTTGCTGATTAGAAATGAAGGTTTCATGACGCCTGTAGATGTTAATGATTTCACTAAATATATTAGAGTTGTGCGATTAACTTTTATCCGAAATGAACTTTTTTGAACAATATATCGTACAACAGAGCCTTATTATTTTATTAGAAGCCTGACAATGGCGACCAATCACTGCTTTTGACAGATAGCACAAGAAAGAAACTTTTGTAGTTTTCCTTTTATTCCTTTACTAGATAAATTATATAGGTTGTAAAATGATACAGTTACTACATATTGTCGAAATGAATCAAAATACTTGATTTAACGATAAAGTACGTTTTATACAGTTTATTTCGGTTTTAAACAACATGTTTATTTATTTCCCTTTTGGCATTCTAAAAGACTTTTTTTTTATGAAAATTTAACTGATTACAATAAAAAATTATAAGAAGTATGTTCAACTTAAATGACTAAAATATTGAATCAGTTATATTTGTGGAATGAAATTTTTCTAGGTACCCTTTGATGACAATGATAAATGAAAGACAGTCCGTGACGGTATAAAATTTATCCTATGTGTCCGAATGCATTACCAATCAAATAAAATCAAATATGAAATTAAAATGCTTTTGGTAACGTAAATCAATACACTCATTAATCGAATATCTGTTAAATCTTATATGGTATTTTATAGTTAAAAATAGAACAACTTTACATTTATTGAAGAAACATTACACAATCCCGCTTAACAAAAAGATGATGTATTTTTTTCGGATTAAAAAACGAGAAAAGAAATAACATTTTACCGCCATAACGATTTCTATATACATTTCTGTATAATACTGGAAATAAACTAAAAATTGCTGAGTAAATCTTATCCAGGATTTGTGTCAATTTAATCTATGAATGTAAAAGTAAATTCCTTTGAATTTAAGAATGTTCAAATAGAAGAGAACAATGATAGACATAATGACTTCTTGGCACGCTCTTCAAGTATACAGCGGTGTGTGATTGTATCAGATTGTAAGTAAAACATACAAAAACTCTGGTACTTCGTACATGGAGAAAAAACTTAATAGTTCGTTGCCTGCGTCATTCAGTCTATACTACCTTTTTCGTGGTAATATTTTGTATATGGCACACAACTAGTTCATTTTCGAATTTAAAACGACATTGTGTGTCTGTAACTTGTATGTTCAATGTACTGTTTTATTTGATGATTTCTCTTATACGAGTGTTGAATTTGAGGCGATATACTTTTACTAAAGTATTAACAATTCCCTAGTAAACAGACAGTTAGCACTCAATTTCAGGTCTGAGGTTCATGGAAATAACAATATACCTCTTAATCGTATGACTGTTGTTTTTTTGTTTTGTTCGACATTAGTTTCGATTACCTTTAATGGGACAGGATTGATCGTTAATCTATGCATCTGTTCATTTTTTCATTGTGAGATAATAAGGCCCCTGAATCAAGGTTTTTATGTGGTATACGTACTTGCTTCACTTATAATCAAATGCACAATATGGATTTATCGTATATCATATCAGGTTGTTTGTCCTATGTGGACTTGTTAAGTTGTTTTTTTTGTCCCCTGAATGCCACCTGATTTTCATTTAACCAGTAAAATGATGAGATGTTTGATGACTGTTTTTCTTTGGGTTTCTGTTTTTTCTTTTGCGTATAGCAACCAATTTAGTTTTATTCATATCAAAATCAACATAGTCAAGAATTATGCTATCGAAAGTTATAGTATGGAAATTGTGTTTTTATCATTTTTTTTTATTACAGAGCTCTTAAATGACCAACATAAAGTGTGTCAAAATGGAAATCTCTCTAAACAATAAGTACATATGATAGAATGTTGAACAGAACGGACCCTCTTTTTATTTTAGACTTCTTTGTTTTTAACAGCTACGTTGAGAATAGGGTAAACGATGTTGGGGGAGGCGGGAACTGGACGTACGTAATCAATTATTTGCAGTAATTAGTTTAAAAAAGGATTTATGTACTCTAACATTTTGGTTTAATGAGTATAAATGATTAAAATAGTACAGAACACCTTTAGAGCGAAAACAACAACATGAATAATAATATTATTTATTGAGAGCACACTATTATATCTACAGTAAAATTTTTAAAGAGCTTTTCATCGTAAAAAAACATAAAATGAGTGGAAAAACAAAAAAGTGAATACAAGTTCATGGTTGTAAGAATGATTAGTATAAGAGTAAACATATATTGTTCTATATATAATTTTTTGAATTGTTATGAAAAATAAACACAAATTATATTTGGCATTTGGCAACTCGTTTAACAATGCTGTCCAAGAAAACAATGTTTTAGTTATACTTATATGTCAACACTTACTTGCGCTAATTTATTCCCTGTTCAAAATTTATCCAAATTTAAAAATAAAAGACCCAAAGATGAGCAAAAGAAAACGTATGCAATAGTATTCTGACAGCTATCTTTGGTAATTTTAACATTATATTGGAATCATATACAATTATTGCCTTCATCAAAAGTTAATACTAAGTACCCAAAATCAATGATGTAGTCATGTCAGGTTTAAGAATTTTTGTCAGATGTTCGGACTCCTTCGGTTTTTCCCTACGATACATGTAGAAACTGGGCCTGGGATGTTACAGCCCATGATAAGCACACACTGTAAAAATCAATTGCAAATGACAAAACTCAGTAAAACGGTACGAAGCACAAATGAAATCAACTAATATAAAAACAATAGACACAAATCACCAATGTAAGAGTACTCTCTGTTCCTGAAAGCTAGTGGAAAGCCAATTAAAACCAACTGATAAATAAATAATGTTTCCCAGACTAAAGTATCAACAAATATACATCCAATGGATTTGGTGTTAGGACGTCATATACAGTCTGATAACCCCATGACTTTGTACAATGGCAAAAAAAGTAAACAGTATCGACAGGATGTATGATCATGGGTACTCTTAACTTTTCATTTATAGAAATGCATACTGTAAATTCAAATATTTTTGCGTGCATTTATTATTGTGATTTATTTTTAGGAATGAACAAGAATGAGAGTTTAATTAATGCAATTTTAGGAAAAGCTACATACAGATAGATGTATCAAATATCAGAATGTGGATTATTTTTTATTGAGACACTCAAGGAGTCGCATTATTCGCATTAATAAAAATCTTGCAATCATTTCAGAATTTACAGTATTTAGATCATCACCAGTTATACCTCTTCGTTTTAATAAAAAAGATCAGCGCTTTTCTTGGAACATATATAGTATCCATTTCTTTTTTCTCAATCAAACTAAAATATGTACTAAGTATAGTGACTATTGATACGATATCTTTAAAAAAACATACCTTCCTCATTGTTTAACGACAGTATGAGGCAATTAAATAAAAAAAACCGAACCGCGATGGGACAGTCAGGTTGTAATTGATCAGTTTGAGTGAAATGCTTTCAAAAGAATGGTAGCTTCAAACACTTCAGTTTTTATTGAATACTTTGACTCTTTTTGCATTTACCATAGAAGAAAAGCGTTCACTTTTTCCCGATAACGCAAAAATTTTGCATGTGCAGAGTTATAAATCTAAAAATTTTTGTTTGTTCAAATAACTTAATTCATGAAAATTCGACAAAAAATGTTTGCCATAGATCGCTAACAACACAATTCACTATATAGTAACTATTTCAAAACAATATTACTCCCGTTTAAATAGTTGACTGTCCCTGAATATCAAACTCGTCCATACAACTTGCAACTCGAAAGAGTCTCATCCTGCATTTTGTAATTCTTTTATTCCATTTGTAATTATGCCCTAAAAAGAAGAAATTAATGTTCTAATTAAATTTTTGCTTAAAAGACATACAATGAATAATGTTATCTTAAAAAACGAAAATAAGACCGTCTTGCAAAAATACAATAATTAAAGAAATTAAACTATTCAGAACTAAATTCTTAAAGGATTGACATTTTGCACATGCTTTGTGTAATGATTTTCTCAGGTGCAAATACATTAGAACAGGACTGTTGTCAAACTATTAAACGTACATACAAACGTTTTGATCAATAATCAGTCAGGCTTTATATGACAATTAATACTAATTTGTTGTCTAATTTTTAAAGATACATTGCAAGTTGTAAAATGGTATTACTGAAAGCCACACAAGGATGCACCCTCCATCACTGCAGTGTTTGATTTTAGAATAATAACATCAACTGTAGGTCCAAGTTTTTGTTTAATAACATCTGTTAGGATAGGTGACAATGAACAATCATGAACAACAAATACCCTCGTAATTTCCTTGTTGATTGCTGGAATAAATGAATCCAGTATTCCTGAAGCATATCTTATTCCACTCTCAAAGAATGATCTGAAGAAAGACGCAGTGATTCTTAATTTATCACTCAAAAGACCTACATTTTTGTTGTAACTTGATTTTCGTATAAGCTCTTCTAAAGGTACGGTCGTTAACGGTTGCAAATGAACAACTGGAATCCATACATAAACAATCCGAGTTGAATTTTGGCTAAAACTTTCTATTCTCATTTCAAAACGGCGTACAAATTCAATATAGTCAATATTTTTCTGCTCTTTTAGAATACTTATAACATCAAAGCCAAACAACTGATTTAAAAAAGAACAAAACTCTTCAACAATTATTGAGTTCCTTTGCCAGCGAGTGCCGCGGTATATTTCCTTCACAATTCTTGGCCATGTCACTTCGTGCACTGTAATATCCGTCGTTCCATCTGAAGTTAAAAACAAATACACTTAGAAATTCAATATTCCAACAATTATACAGCAGGGAATATATGTCTACCCCAATAAAGATGACGAAAACGAGTTTCGTCATAGTAAATTAAAGCACTGTATCCAAATTTTGAAATTATGATAGCTAAGTGTGAATGAATCCAAATGCTTATAGACTAATAACAATATACGTTAGAAAGGCATACACATTAAAAACAAAAGCACAATCATTTAATTTCAATCGAACAAATCAAAATACTTAATTGAAACTCAAATAGTTTTACACTTTTTTGAACTTTTATTCAAACATCAATTTCAAAACGTGGAGAATTTACAATGACAGAAGCTATTTGTAGAGTTTCCAGTAAATATAAGGGGACTTAATGAAGTTTCAGCAACTCGCTTAAAAACCAAAATATAATGTTGATAATTAATTGAACCATAAAAACGAATTGATTAAGAGAACGGACATTGATGTGATTCTATTGATTAACTATAGTTGATTTTTTGCTATTATAATACTAATTGAACTTTTCATTCCAAAAAAACGCTAAAAATGGCTGATTATTGCACAAGAACGCCTGCCAGATGCACACTGGTATTTTAGAGTCTATACGTGAGCTTAGTCTTATGTTAATTGAAAAAACAATCTTACTAAGAGACGGAGAAAGTTCAAACGGAGAGATACCGGATTAGCAAACATTAAGAGTCCCCTATCAACACGATAAGGGGATTTCTCTGGTGCACAAGAAGTTAAACCGGAAAAATAGTCTCTCCTAAATGGACATCCTATCGGTGAACCAATTCATCATTGCGTACATAACATACATTACAACATTGAAAGTATATACATTTTAGCTAATTTAGACTCTTTACCCAAAAGAAATAGTGATTTCCTGAAATGTTAGCTTACCTCTGAGTATAAGAATGCAAGGATTTAAAAGGGAGTTTTAAGAAACGAATGGGGCTTATGCAAATGGCGTCTACTGTGTCTGAAAAAAATATTAAAGAGATTAAAAAAGTGCATCGCTTCTGTTTTCGAGTTTTTAATACTAGTAAATTATATTACAGACCAATCAGAAAAAAACTTTGCAAAACTTTTTAAATAAAGTTATAAAATAATTTAGAATTTTTTGTTATGCTTAGTGGGTGTAAGCAATCAAAGTAGTCGACAAACAGATAGTGACTGTTCAGTAAATCTTCAAATTGTTTAAACGATACAACTCGTATCATATAAAAATGTAATTTACAGTTAGTATTAAAGGTTGCACTTTGTAAATACAGCTGTTTCACAAAACACGCCTCTTCTGGGGAGATATATAATATTCATAGATATTTACTTTTGTTTACCTACTGGTTTCCAGATATGATCTCTATGTTTCATCTCGTAGAGTAATGTTACCAGTATAAATACATATGGGTAGCGGAGAAAATGAATTCTGAAGGAAGACCTAAAGTAAAGGGAGGTGTAGTACATAATTTTAGTATAAGTTTGAACACTTTGAAGTTCGGGGGCATATAAATGTTGCAAAATATACCGCACAGCACTATGTTTTGACATTTGAAGTGCATATGAGCTTTCCATTCTAGGATATTTTTTTTTACGAAACTTCATAGTAAAAGTGGTACACTTTTAGCCGTAAAAGGAGTTTCTATGGGAAACCGCATTGTCTATATTTATAGAAGTGCAACCTATATTGGGTAAAAAAAGAGAACATGTAGAATTTCACCAAATCTGGTTTATCTTCAGAGTCTTTATGAAATTAACTCAAATATAAAGTTTTATAAATATTTCATGAAGATTGAGAAAATCCTGGGCCTTTACTATGATGACTCAGCATAAATTCATAGTGTACAACATACCTAAAGCCCTGTGTGTAAAGTAAATTCTTAATATATGCACATTTGTAGTTCAAATTGTTTAGCAGTGCTTATATTTACTCTTCGCAGTCATTGAAACATATAGATCCTAAATGAATATTGTTGTTGGGATGTTTTTGTCCAGTCAAAAACCTATGAGTAAGCCGTAGCACCTGAATGTGCTTTCTTGTGACTAAAGCATAAAAAAATACAAGTTAGAGATACAAAAATACATCAATAAATCTTACAATATCCCAAAATAGTACTTAATATTCCATATTTACAGAAACAGTAGAAATAATAGCAAATTTGAGGCCCCAGGAGCAAAAAAACAAAGAAAAATTCCAAACCCATGGGTCATAAAACAGATATTTTAACCTGTAAAGGCTATGATTTTATTATTATAAAGGTCTTTTGTATAGAAAACAGTAACTGTGCTTTGAATTTATGCAAAAAACAGATTTCAGCAGTCAGTTCTATAGAACTTTTAGTAAATTCATATATCAGACTGGTAACTTCATATATACAAATTTTGCAAATATGGCTTTGTTTAAACAATTCTAGTTCATATATAAGTCAAGTTATGTTAGAAAGATAATAAGAAATAATATTATTGTGACAAGAATTCTAAACTGACCATTTTAGGTAGAAATTGTTTACTTTTATAAATAAATAGGCATACAGTAAGATGTGGACAGGAGACATAGGGAGGATTGAATAACTTTATGTAATCTTGAATATAGTAATGATTAACTACTTAAACTTTACATTTATAGTATTCTGATATACTTTCAGTATGTTATCATAATAGTTTAATACAGTTTCTAGGTTTTTTATGTCAGAAAATATGCACATAGGGTAGGCTGACATTAGTTAAAGTCTTGTTTTCAAATTCTTCAAAATACAAAATTGGGTGGGGAATAAAATGTACTGTAAAAGAAAATTTAGAGCATATGTAGTGATTTTTTTAGGCTATGATTCTGAAAAATAAATATTGTTGTGAGAAAAAGTGTTTTTCAAGATTTGTCTATTTGAATAAATGTTAGTATATGTTGCACTTTGTAAATACAGCTGATCATAAACCACGCCTCTATTGGAGAGATATATAATATTCATAGATATTTTGATTTGTTTACCTGCTGGTTCCCAGATATGATCTATATGTTTCATCTCGTAGAGACATAACTCGGGAATGTTACCAAAATAAATACACATGGCTGGCGTCTTAATTGAATTCGAAGGAAGACCCAAAGTAAAGGGAGGAGTATTACAGAATTTTAGTATACGTTTGAACTCTTAGAAGTTCGGGGCATATAAATGTTGAAAATATGCCGAACAGCCCTATATTTTGACCCTTGGAAAAAATAGAAGTGCATATGAGCTTTCCATTCTAGAATATATTTCTTTTCGAAACCTCAATGTAAAAGTAGTACAGTTGTAGCCGTAAAAGGACTTCCTATGGGAAATTGAATTGTCTTTATTTACAGAAGTGAAACTATAATAATTCAAAGTATTTGTAAACATGAAGTCATCGCCTTGCAACTTTATGATAAGTTTTAAGGTACAATGAAGTTTCCGAGAAAATATTCAATAACTCAGATAAACTCCTGTTTCGCATTTTACTTCTACTTCTATATAATAGAATCTTTTGATATTAAGTATGGAACTGGAGAGAGGGAGTTTCGAAATGACAAACAGGCCGACGGGGAAGGCAATACAGATTAATAACCACCAACTCTAGGAATAATGCATGTAAGATTTTCACCATCGTATCGTTATTCATATCGATTAAAAAAGAAATAGAACATTGCTGGAGTAGTTCTAAAAATTTAATGGTTGATACAGCGCACCATAAAGGAAACAACAATTAGGACTAAATTTTAGTTTTCAGGCAACCGCATATCCAATCTAAACCTACCTTATCAATAGACTTATTCTTCAATTTCTATATTTGTTTCTTTTCGGGAATTATTGCATTGTGATAATGTTACTTATAATATACATATGATACAGGAGACAAAACATGTCAAATAAGTCGACAACAAATATTTTCTGATCGTAGAACACTGTACGAAAAAAATCACCACAAAGCTTGTGCTAGATTATTGTGACCTATATCAAACATAACCGAAATTAGTGTAAAGTTATATCGCCTTATACCCGATGTAAAGCCATTAGATGTATTTATTCATTGGTTTTTACTATGATCAAAGAAATAAAATAGTATAAAAGAGAGGCTGAAGATACCAAAGGGAAATTCGAACTTATAAGTCGTGGACAAACTGACAACGCGATGGAAAATACTAAACTATGATTCATGAAAAGTCAATATGCTGCCCCTTTGCTGATTTTAAATCAATGTAGTTTTAGTATATCAATTTTTCATAAAAGTGTATGAATAAGTTTTGGCGGTACTTATGATATATTTAAGAAATAATTCATGGAAGCCATAACTTTGTTGAAAATTTACACATAGCCTGGGCAGTAATATTCGAATTTTATCCTGAGCGTTAGCAGTTTACAGTAGTGTAAAAGCACAACATATATGTGACGTAAGCATTCACTGAAATGTGTGTTATTGAATGATAGGACATCATCAGTATATCTGATGAAAGTGAGATTGAAGATCTTTGCAAGAGGCTTCTTCAAAAGGTTCTGTATGAAATCTGCTCCATATGAGTACAAAAACAAATCGACCTGTAGGGACACTGCACAATTAGTACCTTTGGTAATATCGACTGCCTGTTGAAATATCAATACACCAATTGTGTATTGGTTGCTGGAATTAGTGTGGATCTTTACAAAGCATAAACTGTCTTAGTCAAATATATCGTTCTTGATAAGGACTCTTTGTGAAGGTTATGAAACAGTATAACTTAGGTGTATAGTTGTCTCAATGGCAATCATATCACATCTCCTTATTTTTATAAAGACGGGAGATTTTCGTCGTTTTTTTAAAAGGAAAAAAGAACGGATTTGTGATTTTTTTTATATATTCTCTTTCCTCAATTATGTAAAGTATATGAAGGTTTTCCTGTTTTGTTGAAAATTCCAAGTTCTTTAGTAAGACTTTCCAAATGTTTTTTTTTGGATATAAAACAATATTGTTTGAAAGCTTTGTCTGCTGGATCGATAGACTTGTCTGGAAAACTGTCCAAAAGTTTATTTGTACACAATTGTGTTTCTGTATACTATACTTACCTCCTTCATCAAAGATCAAATATTTACAACCTATATCTCGGTGTGTACCGCGCCCTTCACGTTGTAGATTTCCGTACATGTATTCACAATATACAGCGAGAGCATCCGGTTCTGTAGTAATAGTAAACTGTTCGTTTGAAAAGTTTGCCTGCAAGGATAAAATTATCTACTTTACTACTTAATTTGCTTAATTTTCGCTTTTTCCATTTGAATTACATTTTTGAGCATTGACACTGCCGATACATATAACTCATTGGTGTTCGAGAACTAACGACATATGAAGTTTTTTTAGTTTGAGGTATGTAGACTACGAATGGATGAAAGGGATATTTTTAAACTCACAACTATGCCAAAGTATTTTCATTGATATGAAGTATTATATAGCTCATGGTGTTTTGCTAATATTTATATACATACTTTAACGGAAAGAGCATATAAATGACCGGAAATTTCAAAGTATCTACGTATATAAAGGTACAGAAAGAAACTTCATCTAGTGAATAGTGTTGCCGGTAAAAAGATTTGTTACGTGGAACAATTCTATTCTGACAATCATGATAATTAGTTTACTGAATATAGCTGTTTCTCTTTACTTGCACTCATGCATTAGAGTATTGTGCTTACCTTTGTTGCAGCATCGCGTATGAACTGTTCTACCTGAGTTCCACAAATATGCGGAACGGTTAGCACCAAAAAAATATCGTCCATATAGAATTTTTTTCTATGTAACATACATTTAAAACAAGTTTTGTTTATGTAACTAATGACAGCTGCATACACATCCAATGCTTTCATTTTCTTTGATGTACCTCCAACATCATTCCTTGATTCTGTCAACAAAGTATCCTTGGTTAATTCGTCCTAAAATATTTACAAATTAAAAACTTAATTAAAAACTAACTTTCACAAACGTTTCTTAAAAAAATAACTGTAAAATGCGCATTGAAAATTGGTTATGAAAAAAGTCAACAAAATCGCTTGTAATGCATCCATGTTTAACCTGATGTTGCATCGGCAAGATTCCGTTTTTAATTCTGGTAATGTATATCACACTTATTAGTAAAAAGTAGTGTTACATTTTCCCAGCATTAGATTGGCCTTTTGTGTACCCAAGGCAGGTGAAGGAAGTCAACTTAGGAGTGTTGTGATTGGATGTAAGGGTACAATATATTTGTTTAGTTATCTATGAATAACTGCAGTGTGTATATTTACAATATAAATTTTGAAACCCATTGAAATATTTTCTAGAGAATTATTCGAAAAGACTTCCTTAATTTTATAAATTTGGTGTAAAATGACGGTGGGCATGGATAACATAAAGAAGCTCCGTCGAAAGTTGGTCATGATACTATTTGGTTTCAATTTTTAAAACAGAATAATAAAGTACTAACACCACACATAACTGTTTTGTCCAGGTTTTTATTATAAAAAAGTAATAAATTAAGAAAATGTTAGTATTGTTGCCTATGGCAGAATAAATACTACCGTTTTCCCTATTATGTGAATTGAACGAGGTCAAAACGGAAGTTATCCGTGCATTGGTCATTCTTATCATACTTTACGAATATACAATGATATATTTTATCTTTTGAACATATTTGTTATTAAACAATGAGAAATAGTTTCATTATAAAATTGGTTTTAGTTGTGAATGAAAATATACTTTATAAATTTGGTGCGTCCGAAGCACTTTTGTGGTTTACTTTCAACTTAACTCAAACCGAAAATTTATATAGCCATTGATATATAAATCCTAAAATGCTTAAAAGCAATAAATACAAATTGGACCTTAAAAGAATAGATATACCCACATTAAGGCACTGTTTTCTGAAAGAGTTTCACGTTGGTTTCTTGATAATTTCTTAATTTATCAACACAGAGTTACAGAAAAAAGTATAACATGTCAGTACTTATGCACTTATTGCTGAATTGATAAAAACATCAATGAACAGCAGTCAACTAGCTAATGCCGTTTTAAACAAACAGATATTGAAATTAAATGTCCAATTAACGACCATTAATTTGTATCGGTAACTAAAGTTGATAATGTCATTCTTTATTTGTAGTGAACTCTCATATCGATCATTGCCATTAGAAATTTATCATTTTGTGTTATTTTCAAATAACCTCGACAATTAAAGGCACCAAACAACGTCAGTATAAATTTCTAAATTTAAAATGAATTTCGTTTTGTCATGCCGAAAAATGTTATAGCTTCCTATACATGCTATACGGTACTGTTTTTACTCGTTATCGAAGGCCGACCTGGATAGTTGTCTCATCGGCAATCATACAACATCTCCTTATCTTTATATTTAAAGTTCAAATTGAAGTCTCGTCACGACGTTTTACTCATGCAACAAATCGAACCATATCCAATGTTTTAATTAAACCCGGGATGAAAAATACAGGTGGAGGGTAAGTACTTAGATTAATCTTTTGTAAAAAGGTTAGAAATGAATAGTGGATATTTAAATTGCATTGTGCATCATTTATTACATCGATAAAGTTGAAAAACATTATTATGTATTGCTATAAGTATTTGGCTAAGTTCCATTTGTTAGATATTTCTCTTACCAATTCAAAATATTACATCTTACTGCAATTCTTTGGACCTATATTGGTGCTCGAATTACAGAATTTTCAACCCTAACAGGTGACAAATCCACCCCGCCCCCTACAAAAACAAAAAAAAACTCTGAAAAACATATCAGACCAGATATATTTATCAACAGAATTATTGCATAAACTGATCTAGAATGTCGTTTGCCTAATCCTTATATTACTTTCACACATAAATAATGATTTATAAAGTGTTCGTTTGTATTTTTTACATCAATGCCTTTGGTACTGGACTCGCAGTTCAAGAGGTTATTATTAGCTAAGTAATCAGTTGCCATTGACATTATTTATAACATACACTTCTATAATTTAAGCTAGTTAACTAAAAAAGGTATTAAGAAACATAGTTTCAGTTTCGTTAGCCAAAGTTGACCTTGGATGGTTTTGGTTATACTTTTTATGCCTCTCTTGTTCACAGCAGTTCGATAATTTATACATTCTACGCATTTGGTTTTCGGCGTTTCTGGTACATGATAATCTAGAAAAGCGGCATATACGGACAGTATTTATCAACTTGATGTATTATTTTCATGTGATACGTGTTATTCCCTTCAAAGGCTAATGATAGTAATTCACAGCGGTGAAATCTCAAAGTATAGATAAAAGTTGCTTATATATTAATAATCTATGTAAAAAGACGATATAAAAGCCCAATAGAGCTTATGCTTTCTTTAAACTGATATTCGTCTATAAATAAAGCCTTTGAAATTTAAACTTGAAATCTTCAACACACTAATATTTTTGAAAAATAGGTAAAAGGATTCAGCGATTTTATTCATAAACCATTTTTATGTGGATTTGAATTAGGTCTCACACTTTTTGTTGTGGTTCGTATTATTCTAAAAATTATTTTCATATAATAATTGTAAGTAGGATAGAGTGTTTTTCCCTGATGATATTAAGGCCACATCGATTTGATGTCTAGTTCTTCAGACAACTGCTTCATTAAATATGGTGCGAATGAGCGAAATTTGTTTGATTTATTTTATTTTAAATGGAGTTTTTGAAGGCGAGTGCTCTACGAGAGAAGCGAGTGAATTTAAAGAAGTTCATGGGAATTTTCAATTCATTTCATGATTTTCATCCAATGTCCATGATCAAACAAGGATCTGTTGATGACGATGATTCTAACATATGTTGATGTGTTTGTGGTCATCTAACGAAAAATTTAATGTTTGCAACCTGGAAGCATCATATCGGATAACTGTGTGTTATCGACAATGAACCGACACAATTGCATGTTGTCATCCTGATTTTTGACTTTTTATTTACAAATCCATCTATTACATGCGCGTTTGATACGATTGGAGCATTAAACGCAACAAAAAAGCGTCCAGTATTTGAAAAAAAAATTCAAGGAAAAACTTGTTTTGGAGCGGCATGCGGACTACTTTGCAGAAGCGATAACTATTTTTTTTAAAGTAAATTTCACCAAATCAGGAGCGTGAAAATCCAAAGAACTAGGAATCAAATTGGCGTGGCCTAAGTACCAAATGAGATAAACAGAGATAATCTAACTGCTATCAAACGTAAAGGACACAATCACAGCATAATATGACTGAAATAGACATTATAGCGGAGATACACAACCGGTATTAATTACAACAGAAATATGATGACACTTTTACAACCCATTTTGTGTAATACGTTGTGTACTTACCTATCGATTCAGTTTTCATAGAAAATGATTAAATACCGCAAATAGAAAATAGTTTTAAAGATTGTTTACATAAGTCTATTTATATCTTTTAATTTAAGTAGTAATTAAATGTTAAGATGTTTGTCCAATCTTTATGCAGTACCAGCCCTGCAATTTCATTGTAAAACTACACTTGATTAAATCTATGTCTGAACTGGTTATTATACGGATAATTTAAATAAACTAATGTGTATAAATCTATGTCCGATCACTAAATGTGTTGACAATGAGATAAAGCTAACAAGCGTCAGATATATTGCTATTTTATAGGACCTGGATCCATGTAAACACTGACCACTCTACAACAGCATATAAGAACAAGTGAAACAAACCTTGATTTAAACACCTAGGTTATCCGATGGAGAATGTCTGTCATGAAGTAGTCAAAATTAATATTTGATGAGGCGGCATGGCATTGTAACATTATCATCCTTTACAACAGACAAAATATAGCTGATCTGAAAGGTATACCATGTCTACTTCTACCATAAATCATGTACTGTGTTACAATCCTAGATTAAGCCGACCATGAAAGACAAACCTCGACTAACGAAATCTATAACTTATATAGCCTAGTTGGTCGAGTGGTCTAGGGCGTTGGGCACAGAGCAGAATTGCCACGAAGCATGGGTTCGAATCCTCCTGAGGGAAGAACAAAAATGAAGCATATTTGCAGATCTAACATTATAGGTTGCCCTTCTGTAAATATAGACAATGCAATTTCCCATAGGAACTCCTTTTACGGCTAAAACTTTGCCAATTTTACTATGAAGTTTCGTAAAAAATTATATCCTAGATTGAAAAGTTCATATGCACTGCTATTTTTTCCAAAGGTAAAAACAAAGGGCTGTGCGGCATATTTTCAACATTTATATGCTTCGAACTTCTGAGAGTTTAAACTTATACTAAAATTCTGTACTACCCCTCCCTTCACTTTGGGTCTTCCTCAGAAATAATTTGGCTGCTATCGATGTGTATCTATACTGGGAAAATTCCCTAGTTGTGTCTCTGAGATGAAAAATAGAGATCAGATCTGGGAACCAGTAGGTAATCAAAACAAAATATCTCCCAAAAGAGCTGTGGTTTGTGAAACAGCTGTATTTACAAAGTGCAATATATACTAACATTTATTCAAATACTCTAACATTTGTTTTACTGTACATTTAATACAGTCAATCCTGTTTCAATCTTTAAAGAATTTGAAAACAAGACTTTAATTATTATCAGCTTACCCTATATGCACGTTGTCTGAAATGAAATACCTAGAACTTTATGAAACTATTCATTTAATAAATTGAAAGCATTTCAGAATACCATAAAAGAAATGGTTCATAGTTAATCATTCCAACATTCAAGATTATATAAAGCATTCAATCCTGCCTCTGTCTCCAGTCCACATCTTACTGTATCCCCATTTATCTAAGAATTTCTGCCTCTAATGGTCAGTTTAGAAATTTTGTCTCAATAATATCATATCTAACTTTAAATCTAACATAACTGGCTAATTTATTAACAAAAAGCGTTTAAACAAAGCCATAGTTGCAAAAGTTGTATGTATGAAGTAACCTGTTTGATGAATAAATTCATTAAAAGTTTTATAGAACTGACTTCTAAAATCTGTTATTTGTATAACTTCAAAGCAAGGTTATTGTTTTCTTTGCAAAAGACCATTATACTAATAATATCATATCCTTTACAGGTTAAATTATCTGTTTTATGAACATCGAGTTAGGGATTTTTCTCTGTTTTTTGCCACTGTCTCATAATCGCTAAATAATTATGCTTTTTCTACGAATATGGAATATTTAGTATATTTGTAGGATCGAACACACTGTTGTTAGTTTTATATAGGTATATTTTTGTCTCTAGCTTATATTTGTTTTATATCACGATCACAGTCAGGTGTTCATGGTGTTACGACAGGACAAAAACACCCCGAATACAATGTTCATCAAGGATATATGTGTTTCAATGACTGCGAAGAGTAAATATAAGCACTTCTTATCAATTTGAATACACATTATTCATATATTTTGAATTTACTTTGCATACTGGGCTTTAGATAAACTATTCATACTGTAAACTGTGAATTCATGCTGAGTCATCATATATAGATTTTCAGAAAATAACCGTATCAATGATATTTCATGTCAAAGCAGGAGTTCTGCCTTGTGGGATCCCAGAACGAAATGTCCACTAGCAGTGACATTGACCCATTCGTTTTAAAACAAATCAAAAATGCATATCTACTGGTATCCCAGACCAGTTTTTACTATACACAAGAAACAGAATCTAAAACTGTAAAAAGAAACTGCTATGAGAGTCTGGTTTGGTTCTTTGTTCGATACTTGTAAAATGAACAAATTTCGACGTTAATAAACTAAAATGAGTAGAAACAATAATTTCTGGATTAAGTCAAACCAACAGGTAATTTACACTTTAATAGAGCTTTCTTACATTTTGACGAAAGGTACGAACGAAAGTAAAGGAAGCATGTATTACAATCACACGATAACCTAAATATTCTTATGTTTTATCCGATAAACCGGTCTTCTATTCTGAATGAAATAGATCTAATAAAATTTAAGCATATCGCAAATAAAAAACGCATTTAATATCTGAAAATAAGGATAACTAGTTCAAAATACATTTACGTCCGATACGTTGCTTATGTTAACCACGATTTCACACATTTGCGCGAGAATTGTTCAAGCATGCTTTTTGTAAATGATATAAACATGGACTTATAATAAGTCTCTAGTTTAAATTATTAACATTTAAATGAAATTTTTGCAGTACAACAAAGTTCACGATTATTTAAAAAAAATTTTTGATGAGAATGCCATCAACGGGGACATGAAGATTTGCCACTTACAAACACTGCAAAGTATGGAAAATGTATTTAAAACTAGGCGTGAGAGAAGGAACAAAAAGATTTTATGCTGAAGTTTTTTCCAATAATTTAGAGGTTAAATGTTAAATAGAAAAAATGACCACACTTGCGATGATATGAAGCAAATGTGAAAAGGAATAAAAACCAAATACACCCCTTGAATCAAATAGTCGTTGCCTATATTTCCCAAAAATGGTTTTTATAGTCTTGATATTCAGTTAATGTTAGATGCAAGACCTATTCGATTTCATTCTCTTAAACGTCGTTGATTAGTTTAAAATCATGTATTACTTGTGTACTAATTAGTTGTGCATTTAGCATTTACAGAAGATGTTAACACGAGTGAACATGTGATATACTATGCCAATTCAAGGGGAATAATTAACACATAAACACTCACAAACAGCTTTGATTTAGACATAGGACAAATATTTACGAGATGACAGCCAACCAACAAATATATGATCATCAACTCAATGCAAATAGAGTTCAATAGGAACGTGATGTAGCCCACACTGTATAATAAACGATAGGTGGTCCAAAACAAAAACGACAAACAAGCAACAAGTTATACCGAGAAAAAACAACCAATAAAATTTAGGTGTCGCAGAAGGTTAAGTCGTCTCTGTCTTTGGCATAATTGTGCATATAATTGACCAAGTCTAGGAATATGTGTGCCGAGTAGAGACCGATTGAGTGCACTCCACTCCTATATCATTTTGAACATCTGTTGATTAAACGAGTCCAGTAATATATTTCGGGTGTCATTTTTTGCCAATTGGGAAGTTATTTTTATCTTTTATGTGGGGAGCCAATACATTTTTTTCATTGGTGTATTCGTAGGTTCGTTAATTGAAAGAAGTAATATTTTAATTCATTTGTGTGTGTGTGGTGGGGGAGGGGGGGGGGGGGGGGGTAATTTAGCACAATTTGGTATTTTGTCTGTGTTAAGCAAACTCTGTTGAATTAGCACCATCACCCTGTTTTTTTTTTATTTTTACATCGAACGTTACGAAAGTCTTATGTTGAATGAATATTAAGATTGTTATATGTTGTTGCATATAGTGTTTTGGTTTTTGATGGGCAACCAATAAGGCGGAACACAGTCTTAGTCCTATGATAGCCTTGACAAAGATTACATCAATATGTCAAATTTTGCGAGTATTCAAAATAAAGGATCCCTCAAACGGATCTCACATATGATTCGTCAAGCGTACGTACCTTTCGTCAAATTGTAAGAAAGCTCTGATGTTTTCTTTTTTTTACAGTAATGGATACAAACTACCTACATCAATCATTTCAATCTGGAACTACATTGAACATGTAGAAATATGCAAACCAGCAATGTACGACTTTTTTCATATTTAAGGACGGTTTAAATTCTGATTTTTAAAAAGCATTTGTCACCACTGCTTGATGCGCATTTCAACAACAAAATACAATACAATATTTACTAACCTGCTTTTCAAAAAGTATTTTCCAGATGTTTTCAAAATAGTACCAGTTGGTGAAAATATCAGATCTTTTCTCTTCGAACTCCAATTTATCTTCCAAATTAAAGCAATGAACTTTTCCATTTGGTTTCAAAACAACATCGACAGACGGTTTATCGTCAGTTGTACATGTATGGACACATAAACGAAGGACAAAATTACTCACGAAGTCTTCATAATCGCTTTTCAAACAGTGAGCAGCTCTGATTTTGTTTGGATGTATTTTTATAACCACAACTTCAGGTCTTTTGTGTCTATCCTGAAACTATTTAAAGCCAACAGATTATTCATACCATAAACTTACAGGAACTAGCTTGAAATTGCGTGTACCTGACAACTTTATGAATTCATTTTTGACTTCAAAGGAAATTCTAAACATAGTACCAATTTAAAATGAATGATGATGCCATGTTAATGTAAAACATGTAAAGAAGGAATAGTTGAACACGTGTATTCTATCTGAATGTGCACATATACAGCTTCTTAAACATGTTAAATTCAAGGAAAAAGATAATAAAAAATCAGCAAAATGAAACAGAAAAAGTAATAAAAAAAAATTTCTTTCGCAAAAAAAAAAAAACCCTTAAAAACTCCCATCGAAATGACCAAAATGAAAAAAAAAAAATGTAGCCGAAAAAAAAATATGAAATTGCGCAAGATATGGCCACCTTTAAAACCTGCTACATCTAACATTTGAAAAAATAATGCAGACTTTTTAAGACAAACGGAGCAACTTGAGAATTTGCAATTCGGCTTCATTCCAGATTAATTCAGGCTCATGTACTAAATAGGTGTAAACAATTTAGACACTGCCATAAAAGATTTACAGACTCTGAAGGGAAGGAAAATACAGATGGAAATATTGATTGTTCCCACTATTGCAGCCCCCGTTACATAATCGAATGATATACAATACTGCTAAACTGCCATACCTCAGTGGAATTAGATGTGCGCATCCGGTATACAACATGGATACATTCAAGATTTCAGTTTTAATAGGTTCTGATTGTTACTTGGCTATAGCAGAAGACAAAGTTATCTGTGGACCATGCCCGAATGCAGCAAAATTGAAATTTGGAGACTTGCTTTCTGGACCAATGATAGACTGAACTGGACCCACATCCCCAGTTTTAATGTTAAACGTCCTGATACAACACAAAACGGATTTGGGACGTTTTTGGAAAATCGAATCTAAGGGAGACGTATCTGTCGAATCAATGAAATTTAATAAACTGTTATCAGAAGTATTAATCAGCCAGCATAACAATTAGGAACAACCGATATATTACAAAACTTCCCGGAGTTGACTAGAAATCAGATCATTACAAAACGCCATATACTTGGTTTATTACACTCATTGAGCAGGGAACCAGAAATGATGAAAGTATATGGAGCCATTCGCCTATCAACTAAATCGTTATTTTTGAAGAAAACTTAAGGATTATGGACCAGAAAGTAAAATTATTCCGAGAAAAACACTGAGTAAAACTAAATCCAAGTTTAAGATTCAAAAATTGACTTAATAGAGACTGTAACTAGTGCGTCGTAATTTTGATAATGATCTTAGTGATTAGACAGTTCAATGATTTCTGTTTTATTACATGGACTTTAAATGGTTAATTATCATTTCACATTTTGCATATTGAATAGTTTTTGATAATATTAATTTCATTTTTTGGCGCCCCCAGTGTCAAGGATTAGCCGCTTTTCATTTACTTTATAACTAACGTCACTAACGTTATCTATTGTACAACATAACGTTGCCTTTTTCGCAAGCAGTGATTACACGAATAAAATGTGTATGTAACACAAGCCTTGTCAATTCAAAGCCAAGAACTAGCCACAACCTTCACGATAGTTTCATTTGAAGTCTTAGCATACAATAGTATATAAATAAATTTCAAAAATTACTTATTTTTTTAATTATAAGGAAACTGTATTAATCTATGTTGAAATTAAAGTCGTTCTAATTTCAGATGCTTATATTTGATTGATGAAGTTATTTGACTTTTTTATTTCTTTTGCTTCATATATCAACAGTAATTGTTTCTTAAAAAACATTGTCTCTTAGATCAATAAAATTAAATGTTATTTTACCTGCACCTTTGATCCCTTTTCAATTTATGTACCATTATATAATGTTTACAATATGCAGAAATCAATTCAATTAGCTCTTTTTCGATAAAATCGCCTCGGAGGATTGTCCACCTTGTTTGTGGAGTTATAAAGAGGTCACTTTTACGTTTAGGTTAGACAATACTTGGTCATGTTTTATGAAGATTTAAAGCCCAAGGCGAAGTCAAGGGTTTTAAATGTTCATAAAATATGACCAAGTATTGTCTGACCAATTTAGAACATATTCACCCCTTCCAGTGACCCTACAAAATTATCCTTTCCCAATGTATTATTCAAACCTTTTAATTCACTTTTTATAATGAAGTGTTTACTTGGTTAAAAAAGGAATGTATAACATAGGTAATGATCATTTCAATTGATGGAATGAAATAGCACTGACATAGTTTTGTGGGGACAAAACGAATAAATTGTTCAAACATTGAGTTTGTCTTCTGCTTCAGGTAAAATATATATATGCTTATATACCTTAAATTTCTTGATTTTAATAAGCACGCAATGTTTTATAAATCAGCTTTGATGAATGTACATTTATTGTAGTTTTTTCGAAAAAGAAAATCCTTTGCTTTATAATTCAGAAGTCTGACATTGTTTTCTTGGAAAGCCATGTACTATGAAAATTAAAAGGGAAAAAACTGACTTTTCATTGAAATAGAAGGGGTGAGTATGTTCTAAAATTGGTCTACAATGAAAAGTCATTCATTTATAGCATTTTATAGTGCACATAAAGCCATGTGCTAAGAAAAATAGAAGGGAAAATACTGATTTTCCATAAGACGAGAATGGGTAAGTATGTTCTAAGCTTTTTAAATAACGTATCCAATGACCTTTCGTTTGTCACTTTCATACCCTGCAGTTGTATAATAAGTTACTTACCTCTAGCGATCCATGAACTGATGTTATTGTTGTTGACGAAACTAAGTGGGGAACAAAAGTTGGCGGGCGTTGTATATCAATATAGCTTCGTACACTTTCCTCGTTTATCATTTGTTTCCCTTCTCTTGCAGCTCTGAATGCTTCATTTGCGTCTGATGAACTAGCAGCAGCATCAAATATTTTGCGTCTTGTTTTAGTTTGTGCAACATTATGTTCTAAAGTGGTTTCCTCTTTACTGATAACATCTTGGAAAATATTCCAATGTTTTTCAAATTCATTGCTTAGTATTTGTGATTGACTTTGAATTGAATTGATCAGATATCGTTCCTGCATCATGACCTTCTTTTTCCCATCTTGATATCTAGTTATTTCTGATAACTCAATGGTTTTCAGTTTTGATAAATCAATATTAAATGTTTCAATTGTTTTGTTAATCATTTCCGAGTAGCTTTTATTTTTTTCAATGCACATATTATATCCCTCACTCAATTCGATCATGTTGTGCGTGGTATGTGTTTTTGTAACACACAATGAACAAATGGCATCTTCACAATCCTTACAGTAAAGACAGCATAATTTTCCGTCATGAACAATGCAGCTTATGGATGTCAAGTCAGGTTTGGCTTCCAAATCATCCGAGGTTATGTCTTTTAATGTCACTATTTTGTGCTTGTCAGCAAGTTTTATTTTAGGATGGATCCTTTCCTTGCATTTACTGCACATAAACAGCTTACAGTCAAGACACTTCCACTGTATTTGAAAACATACTTCGCATAACTCACAAGGTATTTGAACTTGTCCCTTTGGTAAACTTTTTGATAACGACATTTCTTATCTAGAAATGATCACTTTTTTCCCGACCTTGAAGCGGATTAAACTTCCTTGTTAAAAATGACGTCAGTCTTAACTTGACTGTAACTGTTAAATATACCTGGTGTATGACACAGGTAAACAATGTTGTGTAGACAGTTGTCACTTAACCCTAACACTTCGGCTTGCATAAAGAAATATGCCTTTGATATTTAAAAAAAATAAATGGTGTCTAGTTGATAGTTTTAACTCATGAATGCAATTTTGTATATTACTAGCATAATTGCCGGGTTATGTTTTTAGTAATGAGAGGCAGGTTATAAATAGAAAAGAGAACGCATCGAATTCTCCTTAATTTATTTCACATAAGGATTATTTTGAAACATCTTTCCATCTTTAAATTCAAAGTTCCACAAGAACCTTTGGATACTTTGAGTTTCTTGAAATATTGCAGCTTATGTCTTATAATATGGCTAAATAATAAATGCCTAATGTTAACTTAAAACTGCTAGATTAACTGAATAAGGCAAATGTTGAGTAGTCATTGATAAAATAATACATTTGACATTAATAACCAGGAACCGAATTTTGAGCTATAATTCTATATGATGTATATGTTGTTTACAAGTTATCATTTTGTACAAATAATAATTTGTAATTTGACTTTGTACAAATTGTGATTTGTCCAAAAATTCACTAATAATTGTACAATAATTCATATTATGGTTTTGGTTAAAAAAAAACCATTGATACACACTATAGAATTATTATTTAATGAACATATAATAAACCTAATGTACAAAATAGTTTTGTACCATTTGTTTGAGCATGTGAGTGAATTATTGCATCGGGAATTGCACAACATCTTTTGCTTTTTACATTTACATTTGCTACATCCCCCTTTGCATTTACATCCTAACCATCCGATTTTGAAGTCTTTTTAACTGCTTCAAGTGCCGAAAGTTGAAGCTCAGAAACCGTTGCTGAGAATAATCATGTGTCTTTAACAGCTTCAATTTGATTTCTAGACAAATATCCTGTTAAATTTCCTAAGGCTGTTCCAATGCGGTAACCAAAACATCCAGACTCAACAATGACGCCTCATATATTTCGAGGATTAGTTGGGGCGACATCATACTGAGGAAAAGGTATAATGATAGTTGCCCCTACAGCAATTTCTGATAATTTCAGTTTCGTTTTCTTGGTAAGATATTCGACTTGGATCTGTTGGCCAGACAGCGCACACTTTCTGGCACGTATGATTGGTGTTTCAATGTCGGTGTGATCCTGATTGTCACTAGAGCCAATTTCTATTATACTATCATAATTAACAGGCATACATGTACCAATTTCATTTCCTGTCTCCACCTTGGTATCTTTCTCTTATTCAGACGATTTTGTTTCTGTTTCAGTACGTAATTGTATCAGGATCATCTGTTTCATCATTTTCTTTTATTTCTAAAATTTTCTATTATTCTTCTTCGGTTTCAAGATTAGGCAAACAATTATTTTGGCAGAGTAGATGAGGATCAACCAATCTTTGGCTCTGACGCAAATGAGCTGTATATGGGGATTGATTGTTCTATGATAAGAACGTTTTTTTTTTGTAAACTGTACAAAGTGTAAACCTTCATACCAGAGCATTTAAAACTTCTTACTGTTAAAAATATATATCAAAGGCCACCATTTCTATCATGTTAAATTATCATATATCCTTTGTACAAATTATAAGTGAATTTTAGTCAAAATTTGGACAAGCACTGTTTAGACAAATTACAATTTGTAAAAAGCTAACATACAAATTATAATTTGTACATTTGTACACAACATATCTATTGTCTTAAATGTATGAATTGATTTATTTGGATTGTGAAGTCCGTCGATGCATTTTCCAATAACATAATAAAGTTTGCTCCATTAATTTTGTATCACAGAAATATATACTGTAAATTCAGAAATTATTGCGAGGTTTTTATTAATGCGAATAATGCGAGCGGCCGACGATCGCAATAATTAAACCTCGCATTCTTACTTCATTTTTCCCTCGTCAATTTGTGATTGATTTATCTCCCTTTGTTCAGTGGTGTGATGTAAGTAACCTTTCACCTGGGGCATTTAAGGGTAATGTGTTTTTACAACTTATTTCCGCTAATCTGTGTAATCAGTGAAGCCAGGTGACATTTTTATAACACTTTGACTTTTAATTGGAAATGTGCCTGTAATTTGTTTATGTTTGATCAAAAGCTGCCGGGAATTTTTATGAATGAGAAAATTACTATTGACATGCTGTTCGATTCATGTATCCAGTGACAAATTACGATGTTACTTTGTTTTGTTAATATTGTTTGTAACTGTTCAATGAAGCATGTGTATTTTCGGTATAAGTAAACACCTTTAGAAAGTGAGAAATAAAAAATTATCTAATAATATTTATTACAATAAATAAATAATAGACAATAAAATAACAAAAATCATCATTAGATAATATTGTTCATAAAGCACAAGTACGGCAATAGTTTTTCAAGAGTCAATTTATAAGTCATCACAAGCTACTATTGTTCATTAAGCACAAGTTCAACACTACATGTAGTTCATTAAAAATACAATTTAACACTTTATACAGTCACTTATACCAGACTTTTTCCAACCTAGCAAGATAATGTCTTTCTTTGACTTCAACTCGTGGAACACTTTACTCAACCATTTAGCATGTAACGGCTTGAGAACAGAAAGTCTTAGGTCAACCTTGTTGATGGTGGATGAATCTTTTAGATCTTCAGCAACCATATCTGCGTACCAGTTTGTAAATTCGTTTTTCATAGCAGCTTTGAGTTCACCATTCACGCTGAGATCCATTGGCTGAAGTTCCCCAGTACAACCCGCGGGTACGAAAACGTGTTGAATCCGAGCCTTCGACAAAGCATCTAGGACTTCTTGACACCTGTGTGCACGGAAAACGTCAAATATGGCAATTGACTGCTGTCGTATCGGCAGGTCTAACTCTTCTTTAACTTTGTCGGTATACGGCACAAGGACAGTCTCAATGTAACGCACCATACTCTGTTCGTTACTCCAGTGGCTCTCTGTGTGGAAAACGTCCCAGTCGGAGGGAAACGGATATTTTGCGTGACACTGGTCTGTTTTACCTTGGTATAAAATCTGAGGTGGTAAGAGACAACCATCTGATGTGCTACCTAGTAAACCTGTAATCTCGCGTTTATCTTCTAAACCAATAATGTCAACTTGCTTTGAGCCCTCCATCTCTAATGTCCAGTTAGATACAGGGACGATCTTTAACCCAGTCTGGTCAAAGTTGAAGATCAGTTGTGGAGGCACGTTGTACTTGGTAACGGTCTCGGTGATGATGCGATGAAATTCACTTTTTTGGTGCTCAAAGTCATCTGGCAGTTTTCTGGCTGCTTTGGTACCTTTTCGCTTGACGTACCCAAGTCTTTTTAGGAAGGATACGGCCCATGTCTTGGTGATATGTATCGATCCACCAGCTTCACTGAGTAGTGTGGGGTTTTTGTGTCTGACAAGTCCACAACGGGCTGTTGCAATAACGATAGCTTGGTTTACGATGCCACCGGCTTCTCTGATGCTGCGTATGTGGGCTCCTACATCTTTGTCTAAATCACCAAGAAGTAGTGGCCTACCACGTTTTTCTGGTGTCAACGCATTGACAGGTTGGTGTTTAGATTCTTTTGAGTTTACAAGATATTTCTTTTTCATGGCTCGTACTGCACTTTCTTTAATGTCAAGTTGGAGGTCTTTGCTAAATTTGCGGGCAGCGGCAACATTGCCATGTTCAGTGGCGTATTTTGCTATTTTAGCACGGGTCTCTGGTGTGTAGTGGTTGTTGCTGGCTTTTCTCTTGACCCCCCGTTTTGTGCTGGTAGTTGACTCATCAGTAGCAAGAGAGTTGACAATTTCAGTGTTAGCGGCTTTTATTTTATCAGCTGCATCTTTGTTGATAGCGTTATCAGGATCGGGCAACCTCAAGACGATGTCGTCAGGGGAGCGTTTCTTTGTGACGTACTTCCACATGGACATTTTTTTAACCGTAATGGCGTTTAAAAAAAATCATTCCTATTTATGTCTAAATGAGTCTTTGCTAATCAACGCTGATTTATTAGATGTGTAATTAAATTTATTTGTAACAATGTGCCACAAGCCTAACACTTTATGATGAATTTTATTTTTCTCAACTTCGCTTGTATGCATAAAAGGACTCGGAAGCCAAACCTAATTTACTCCAGGTGATTGTGATTATTGACTTTTAATATTTTAATTTATTTTCCTTTGAAGCTAAAAATATCCTATAATTACCCAAGCCGGGCCTCGCTCTACACTTATCTTCAGCACGTGGTCAATGTTCGATTAAGTTTCTAGATCCCCAAAGTAGGCATGTACAACAAATACAGTACTAGTAATTGAACTTAGTTTCTAGATCCCCTTTACAAGTTACATCAGATAAGAATTGTGTATTCAATCACAGAAAACATACGGAAGGTAACTTGATCCATAGATTAAAATAAACATTTTGCGAATAAAAAATGTAAATATCTGTGACTTACAATAATATTTAGCTTAAAAAAAAATTTTTTGAGGTCGGCAAATCGCAAAAATAAAACCTCGCATTTTTGCCGGTGGTCGGCGAATCGCAATAATAAATGCACGCAATAATTTCTGAATTTACAGTAGTTCGAATCCCGTCCAGAGAAGAACAATAAAAAATTGAAAACAACACGTTTAATAATTTCATGCGTCCGAAGCGCTTTTCTGGATTTACCTTCATCAGGAACGCTCAAAGCCAAACATTTGAAATCCGAGGGATGTTTAAGTACCGAAACAGTTGAAGAGTTATATGACAAAAATACCTAAAACAAATAGCCAAATCCATCTAAGGTCAACTTTGCCTGAGGGAGTTGAAACCTTAGTTTCTTTATAATTTCAAAATTTATATAATAAATTTGCTGACACAAATTTACAGATCTAACATTGTTGGGCTGTTATTTAGACGAATTATATATATATATAGATTGC